AGTTTACTCTGTCTAGAACAGATTCTTTCTCCCTGTTTTCTTCAGTGCCCAACTGGAAGAACAGGAGGGTGTGGTGTGTGAACAAACTTCTCCATTTCCCAGAGCACACTGGCAATAACCCACCCCCCGGATGCAGGCATTCTCCTAAAAAAAAAATAACATTTGCAAATTCAGTGATGAAGAGTAGCTTATTTCAGTGATGTGGACTCAGTTCGCAAGTATGGTATTCGTTTTCCACTCTGCCTGGTGCATCAGTCAGAAGGATCCTTTCATACTGAATATGTCTGCTGGGGCAACTGTTCTCTTTAATGTTCCTGATGGGGAGGGGTTCGAAGAGGTCAGGGAAGGGGAGCAAGCAGGAAAAAAAAAACGAATTAAGCAGGTGCAGTTCTGAAAGGTGATTTTTTTTTTCAATCAAGTATTCCTTTTTGGAGAAGGAAAAAAGGTATGAATATTAGTACCACTGTTGACTTTTATGTAGCACTCAGTTTAGCTACCAAACTGAAATCCCATTTTAGTCACCTGAAATCAACTGAAGGGGTTTTCTGCCCATAATTATGCTTAGTTTTAAATTCAGAGCTACAAATGACTCTAATACTGCTTTGTGTATGTACCCATAATGATAACTGCAGAACTATCTCTGTCAGATTCCACACTAACGCTTAAAAAGAAAAGTCATTTGGATTTAAAAGAAGTTACACCTAAGGAGAAAACTATCCTCCTCATCAACATGGTACAGTAAGCAAGATAGCAGCATTTTAGCTGACTTCAGTGATGGGAAGCTGGTTTACCAAAAGCATTTAAAAGGCAGCATGCTGGAACAAATATATTAGTGACTGTGAAGAAATGAGAGAGAGAGAATCACGTAAGATTTTTTTTTTTAACATAAAACAAATTGCCACAGAGATGACTGAATTGTTCAGGCACTTTATGAGAAAATCCTAAATCATGGCTATCTCTAATCAGAGAGGAGGCTGTGGGAGTTACCTGTTTTCAGCATTTTAGGTTTTATCCTTTTTAATAACAGTCATCCCACTGACTCCTTTCTAAGGGACGGTGAGGGAGAAGAAAGCTACAAAAAATGAAATTTTGATGACTAAATACAATTTTTAAAAAAATTTCCTTTAAATTGATCATACTGAGACTATTTCAAAGAATAAGTAAACTAGATTTTAAAGAGAAGGCACTCAGGTCCAGAGTGGTGTGATGGGTGGGAAAAGAAGAGTGTGTGGCATAGTTTGAGTTTCTTTTTTAATGGCTGGATGTTTTCGATTAACCCCGGAAGTCTAAAGTGTTTGTTTTGTGTATTTACATACACATAGCACCTAGGAAGCCATGCCTGAGAAGATCGACTAGTATCGCTTCTTATGGCTGCTTACTGTTTTAGGATGTTAGTGCAGAAAAATAGAACAATCGTTTAGGTGACCATGGCACCATGAAAATTAATGCTGCTGCCACATAAAATTCAAGCGCTGGACTGTTTCTAGAGCGTCCCTCGGTTCTCCAGAAGGCTTTGTCACCTCGCTCTCCGCCCTGGTTTTAGAACTGACACCCCGCCCCCTCTCTGTGGGCCGAAGCTGGCCCCCTGGGCACTGCCCGCGCTGCTCGCTGCGCTGCGCTGAGCTGCGCCTGGGGCTGCATCCTCAGCCCGGCCAAGTAGCGCTGCTCCACCAATCGGGCGTGCGTTACCTCGGGACCTTTTCTGTAACCTCCGCTCCTCTGCGTTAGCGACTGTTGTTTATGCCGTTACTTTTGAATGCCAGGTTTCAAACCTGCTGGAGGCTGTTGCTTTCTCCCAGCTTTGTAGAAATCGACTTTGTACGTGTGATGGCATCCAAAAAAAATAATATAGCATGTTCTTTTTTTATCTGAATTTTGTATCTAATCAATGTCTTCAGACATGAAGAGGAATTTGCATTGTTGTGTTTGTATATAGAGTATTGCAGTGCATGAATTAGCTTATGCATTTTATTAAATGCTGTTTAAATGTGGCATTATATTGTTGTGGCTTAATACTACTACCTAAATGAGGTTTATACTATTAAAAGTGAATTACAAATGGAAATGTATCTTTGACTTTCCTTTTTGCATAAATTGTAATAGAATGGTGGGCTTTATGGACTACCCCTCTTGTTATTTGAGCACTTTTTTCAACTACTCCTATCTGTTTTAGAAACTCTATTAAATTATTCCTATAAAGATGGTGTTTCCTATCTAAAAAAAAATTTGCTCTGTATACTCTTTCTTATAAAGACTTATACTCATGGAATCAGTATTTTTGTAGAGCTGGAATGGACTTTTAAAGATCACTTAGTCTGGTAGCTAGGTGGTGCAGTGTATAGTTCACCGGCCCTGGAATAGGAGGACCTGAGTTCAAATCCAGCCTCAGATGCTTACTAGTCGTGTGGCCTTGGGCAAGTCACTTAACCCTAATTGCCTCCCCCAAAAATTAACTAAACAGAAAATAAAAACTACCTAGTCCTACTAGAAACAGAGCCTGCCATTTGAGTCAGACAGCCTGGACTCAGGTACCACTTCTGTCAGTTAGAAGCCAGATAACTCTGAGGAAGTCCTCATCTGTAAATGAAACTATCTACATTACCTATGGGAGAAATGATTATTAAAAACCAATAATTTGGGGAGATCCAGAGTTCTCTCCTTCTTCCAAAGTCCTGATTTTAAAAAGTTCAGTCTCTTAAAGAACATTGTTGATAGTGAGATTGGACTAAGACCTCACCCTGATGGGGTAGGGGTAGCTGTTGGGTTCTGCTCAGGCAGGCTCAGGCAGAAGGCGGAGGCTGGGGTATAGAAATAGTCTGTCCAAAGGTGAAACCAGCGTCACTCTCAGCCCCTCATTTTAATACAGTCTGCCTTCTGTTGTGTTAACCAACAACAGTTGACTGCCACCCTTCAAGAACACCTACTCTTCAAAGGGTATATATACTGTTAGCCTACCGCCATGATTGACTCTAGTCTAAGAGAGGTGGCCAAATGAGGTGCTGGCCTTATTAACGAAATGATTAAATTACCCAGGAACCATGTCTCAAACTTTTTAATCACCACACATATTTCACAAGGTTGTTGGGAGGAGTGAACAATAGAACATTTGTAAACTATTTCGTAATTCAAAATACAAATATGAAAATGGCATGGGGTAGTAGTTAGAGGACTGGCCTTAGAATCAGTAATCCCGGATTCAAACTCTGACTGACACAGATTACCTGTGTGCCCATGGACAAATCACTTAACCTCTCATCTTTCTATCAATTTAAGTTGTAGAGAAGTTGCCAAATTTCCAAGCAGGGACTTCCCTTTAAACATATATACATACATACATATGTGTATGTGTGTGTGTATATGTATGTATGTAATCTGTTATTTGTTCCAAATAAGTCACCAAACACGGAGTAACCAGGGATAAACCATTTATCTTCTTTGGGCCTCAGTTTCTTTATCTTCAAAATGAGAGGGTTAGATAATAATCCCTATAGTCCTTTTCGGGTTTTAAAATTCTATTCACTTTCCAAGGTCAAAAGGGGTAATAACTAAGTATAAAAGCAGGGATTCAAACCCATGTCTTTTGAGTCTAAAAGCAAAGCTTTTTTATGTGCCCTGCAGTAATAAAACCCTTCTTCATTGCTTTTATGCCCAAACTACAGAGTGATACGTAATGAGCATGAAACAAAGGACCTGTAGAGATAAAGCAAAACCTTTCCCATCCATGGGGATTCCTTTCCAAGATGCTGCGATCTGGTGCCCCACCGCTCCCTGTTTGTTGTTGTTGAGTTGTGTCTGACTCTTCCATGACCCCCTTTGGGGCAAAGATACAGTTTACAAAGGAGGAAACTGAGGCTAACGGTGAAGTGACTTGCCCCGGGTCACACAGCTAATAAGTGTCGGAGGCCAGATTTGAACTCGTGAAGATGAGTTTTCGGAGCTCCAAGTCCAGCGCTCTCTCCACCGCCCCACGTGGGGTCTCAGAAAGAGACAGACTCGGCCCCGGGGGACAGAAGACACATCATTTAGCGTCGTAGTACGGTGTCTACTCCAGATTAGAGATCGTCCAGAAGTCGGGGGGATTCTGCTTGGTTAGGTGGCGTATGACGGAAAGAGAATGCATTATCAAGCATCTATTGACGTCCTAGGGGTGTAGTTGACTGCTCATGGAAGGTGATCGGGATCTACGTTGGATGGATGATTGACAGATGGGGACGGGACAATACTATCACTTCTGTAAGGGGGGGGCGGGAGGAGGACGCTTGGCCAACAACCACGTTCTAAATTTGGACAGCCCGTCCAAAAATGCAAGCATTTACCGGGAATCCCGTATGACACTGGTGGCTTGCTTTTTGCACGTGTGTTCAGAAATCACAGAAATGGGAGAAGGGTTCTTGCAGAACATCCCGCCTCCCAAGCCCCACCCCCCTCACCCCGTGCCTCTGGATCCGAATGCGCCGCCCTCCAAGTACGCGTCTCTACGCTGCACCAAAGACGCTGGGCGCAACTTAGACTTTGGCAAGGAAATTAAGGTCGCACGTATCGGGCTCTTCCAGAGAACGAAGCCTGCCCCATTTATTTCTGGGTAAATCTGTCCCATACTCCGGAATGTAGGGATGACTGACACAAGTAAAGTCGCGCTGGGCGGGGAGGAGCAGGAGGCGCAGGCCGCTCCGCCCCAACACAGTGGCCGCAGCTGAGAGCCACCGAACCACAACTCCCAAGCGGCTTCGCGGTGGCGCCTGCGCAGCGTACAGGGTCGTAAAGTGCGCGGGCGTGGGAGAGTGTGCTCGGGAACCTCCGCGGAACCACATTTCCCAGACTGCTTCGCGGCGGCGCCTGCGCAGCATCTCGGGCTGCGGAGCTAGCGCGAGTCTGCGCCGTGAGTGGGAGTGCGAGGGATCTGGCGGCCAGGAGCCCCGGAACCACATCTCCCAGAGTGCTTCACGGCGGCGCCTACGTGGCGTCCCAGGGTCGCGGAGCTAGCGCGAGTCTGCGCAGTAGGCGGGAGTGCGGGGGCGCGTGTGGCCGGGAGTCCTCCAGTCTCGCGGCTCCTGGTCGCTGCAGCCGCTGCCGCGATGCTGATGAAGGGACGCTTCCCCATCCGCCGGACCCTGCAGTACCTGAACCAGGGCGAAGTCGTGTTTAAGAGCTCGGTCAAGGTCATGACCGTGAATTACAACACCCATGGGGAGCTGAGCGAGGGAGCCAGGTCAGTGAGCCGGGCCCCAGGGCGTCCCTCCCGCCCTCCTGCACGGCTGTACCCATCTTACGGATGGAGAGACTGAGGCGCGGAGAGGGGACTGGTTAGCGAGCACCCCCTGCTCGCCCAGCCTGGGACTTGGGACCAGGGGAAGAGCAGTGGGTGCAAATTCTGCCTCCTGCGGCTCTAATGGTGGGCATTAACCTTGGCGTTCAAGGCCTCCGCGATCTGAGCTCCGTGGGAGCTCTCACTGGGGCCCACGCAGGCTTCCTGTCCTCCAGCCAAGGCAGGTCACTTGCTGTGTCCCTCGTCTGTGCCTGCAGTGTTCTTGATTACCTCCGAGCCAGAAGTGATCACTCCCTGCTTTATGCATCCTAACACAGCGTCATGTTATCCTTTACACTGGTCACTGCTGAAGGGTGTCCGATTTTGTGTTTTCTGGAAGGGGCAGGTTTTCAGCTGGGTCTCTGACTTAAGAAAGCATTTCCTGTGGAGGAGAGGGCCTTGAGTGAATGGGTAGTCGGGGGCGTTAGGGAACCTTGCCCGGCTTGGGAGCTGCCAGATTGCTTTACCTGGACCCGAGAGCCTGAGTCGGAATGTTACTGAATGCTGAGAAATGAGAATTTCACGTGGAAGGAGGGCTTTTCCGGAGGCTCTTAGTAAAATGGGATTTAAGGAAGATTTCTGGCTCCCCTTTAAGGGTTGTTTTCTCCAGGCTGGTGAAATCCTAGATCAAAACAGACCTGGATGTGGAGTTCAAGGTCTTGGATTTTAACCCTTCTTCCGTTGCTTACAACCCGGGTTATTATTGGAGAAGTCACCTGCCCAACGTCTCTGTGCCTCATTTTCCTCGGTTGTAGAGGGCTCAGACTTGATCTTCCAGATCTCCTCCAGCTCTAAATCCTGTGACCTCGTTGTCACTACAACTAAAAAACAGGCGCTTCATTTGAGTTAACAGAAAAGTCAGTGACCCATTTAGCCCATCGTCACTGTGCCATCTTGTCCACTCTTTTTTTTTTTTAAATCGTGGAGGACAGAAGAATCCAAGCAGTGGTTATGGGAGGCTACCTTCCATGATATTCAAAAGGTCTTGTCTGTGTCTGCCCCCAGATCTTTCATTCGTCATTAACTCAGAAGGTACCTCAGAAGCCTTGTGGTCCAACCTGTTGTAGACCAAGAAGTCCTCCTGCATTAGTGACAAGTTGGTTGTTGTCCTTTGTACTCAGAGAGGACCAAAATGACATCACTGTGCCAGGGACACTGTACAGTGTGTCCAACTGTGGCTGATTAGACCAGTGTGAGCTGGAAGGCCCTGCCACAGGTCAGGCACAAGTAGCCCATGTGAACACTTGGTATGGAGATGTCTCTGAATTTGTGCGTTTCACATTTCCTTTGAGCTGTTCTGCTTTGCTCATAGAGCACAGCACCTTCTTTAATATGGGCACACCAGGCTGGACGGTCCTGTGCCACTGTCTGCCATGTCTCAATCGATACAGAGAGACCTTGAGAGTGTCCTTGTATTCCTTCTTCTGACCTCCATGCGAGTGCTTGCCTTGTGTGAGTACCCCATAAAATAGCCTTTTAGACAAATGTACTGTTTGGCATTTGAATAACATGGCCAGCCCATCAGAGTTGTGCTCTTTGCGGTAGGCTTTGAACGCTTGGCAGTTCAGCTCAAGAAAGGACCTCAGTGTCTGGTGCGATCTGCCAGGTGATCTTCAGAACCTTCCTGAGACAATTCAAATGGCAGAGATTCCGTTTCCTGGCATGGAGCCTGGTATAAGTTCACGTGGACTAAAAATGTGCCTGACAAAGACTTCAATCTGACAGAGCACTTGGCGGTCATAGGATACCGATTCAGAGCGTGAAAGGACCTTACAGGTTAACTAGTCCAGTCCTCCTATTCCACAGATAAGGAAACAGACCTAAGGGATTAAATGACTTGCCTCAATTCACCTAACCAGTCCACACCAGGGATAGCAAGGAAGAGGTCCTGTACAGTCACCTCCATTAGGTTATTTGCCCAAGGTCACAAAGCGAGGAAGGCATAGTCATCATTTAGAATCAAGTCCCTTTTAGGTCTGCAACAAATTCACTCTTGAATGGGGAACAGAATACAAGTAGAACGTCCTAGGGGCAGAGTCAGGACCCTGACGAGGTGCCCTAGAAAACATGTGGAAGGAGAAAATACTTTCCTATTCCCAGCCGTCTTAAGATGCAGGCCCAAGGCCCTTGTAGGAGCTGGCCCCCGTGGCAGGTGGGGGTGGGGACCGTCTTCATCCTCTGTGGTCCAAGTGCTCAATCAGTGCTGCTGCCCACCTTTCCCACCACAGGGAGCTTGATTTTGATTGTCTGGCTCAGTGTCAGCAGTTGTCAACAGGAAATTCTAAAATGTGGCCCTAACCCAGTATATTTGCCCTTTATGCGGCAAAACCCCCATGAAGCTGGGAGGATAGGCATCACTCGCTGTTCCTTTGCCTTCTCTAGAATGTAAAAAAAGGGAGAGGAAGGGCCCGAGGTCTCAGGGTAGTGCTTGGAGCTTCCTTATCCCTGCTGCAGCACCCAGGATGTGGATTACGTGGCCTAAGTCCATGGTCACCCTAGCCATGAGCTTCAGGGTTGGGTAGCTTTTGGTATGAAGCCTTCCCTAAGCTCTCGGTGTTGGAATGCAGCCCCAGCTGTGCAACAGATCACTCTGGCCTTTGTTAGCAAGCCTTTTTTATCACAGAACCTTGGTTTCATCGTGTATAAAATGGGGAAAATAACACCCCATAACTCAGTGGATGCTGAGGGTGTACAGTGGGTGTCACTGTTGTACTTCCCACTAGATTCTTTACTAGTTTTCTATTTTTTCCCTTTGTAGGAAATTTGTGTTTTTCAACATTCCTCAGATTCAGTACAAAAACCCTTGGGTGCAGATCATGATGTTCAAGAACATGACGCCATCACCATTTCTACGGTTTTATTTAGGTGAGTGAGCAGAGCTGGCTGCCGGGCCCCTGGATGGAGCAGCGGGCTCTTCTCCGGGCCAGCTGCAAACGTTCTCACGGCAGGAGCAGAGGCCAAAAGCTCACGTTTGTCTCTAGCCACTCTTCCTGCAATAGTTACAAACACATTATGGCCTCGTGTGTCAGAAGATGAAAGACATTATTCTCCTCTGCCCTAAGTCATTGAACCAGCGACCCTCTAATAGCTCTTTATCACCAGCCCAAGCCTAATGTATTTTTTTATAAGACACTTAACAAATGTTTGGATTAAATCTGTAAAATGAAGCTGCCTTCTGGGGTTTTTGTGAGGCTCAGCTCAAATAACAGGACTTCAGAATGTTAAAATTGCCCCAGATGGGTAGTGGTCATTCCCTTAGAAGACTCACTTTCTTCAGAGAACGTGCTGAACTCCACCCCTTCCTTCCCTACTTCCCAACGGCTGCCTCGGGTGTTTCCAGCAGCGTCCTGTTGGCTTTCCCTTGTATCCCGTTTGTGTTGGTGTCTCGGTACCAGACACGTTAAAGCTAGGACGTGGCCTTTGGAAGATGTCATGACAGGTTCCTGCTCTGTGCTTCTTGTTTTCTAGATTCTGGTGAACAGGTCCTGGTGGACGTGGAGGACAAGAGCAACAAAGAGATCGTCCAGCACATCAAAAAGATCCTGGGGAAGAATGAGTAAGTTGATTGGTGCTGATCAGAGGTCAGTCACCTTGTTAACCTGGAGGCCCAGAGAAGATAGAAGAGAGAGTGGTCGGTATGGAGAGGAATGAGAGCAGGGTGGACTTAGCTGTCTCGTGGACACGTCGGTGGCCGCGCCTCCGCTGAGAGCACACAGCCCTTAGGAGATCCAGGTCTTCCCCCAAGTCCAGGGCCAAAGGAGAGAAGAAAGCCCCCAGTGGCATTGGTGGGTACCACATGTTCTGTGGTGACTCACCGTGATGGGTGGTAGTCGTGGGGACTGACCGAGCACTCACTCTATAGCGTGTGCTAAGTAAGGGCTGTAGAGACGTCGTCTCATTTGGTTAACTAGAGGGTTTCTGCTCCATCGATCAGGTTGGTTAGCATCCGTTTCCCATGTATTTGATAAAACCACAAGGGACTCTGATATTGTTTAGCATGTTTTACTTTACAAATTTCAATTTTTGAGGAGTCACTCATCTTAAAAAACCTGACCAGTGCGCCGTTGTGGGCCACGGCCACAACTTGGAAGTTTTAGAATTTTTTCAAGAAATAAATGCCTCCATTATGCTTTTGCTACAACTCATCCTGAATCTAGCTTGGAATCATAGGCTTCTCCCAGTGAATCTGTCTCCTTTCTTGAAGTTTTCTCAGCATTAAATCACCCTTGACCTTTGCCCCTTGACTCTCCTCAGTCCATTAAAGGACTTAAAAGAAGATAGGTAATGAAAGTCTACCTTTCCAGCTTCTCTGATTTTGGGGCTTTCTAGATGTAGTACAAGAAAGGGGAAGTTAGCTGGTGGCTTGAAGCCTCTTTTTCTCTAATCCAGAAGAGATATCTTTCACTTAATTCACTTTTAACTTTTCTTCTCCATCAGCTTTTTCTAGCAGGGAGTTAGTGACTTAATTTGTGTATAACAGCTGATTTTATGTACTCTTTTATTCTGAACAAAGTGTTTCAATTATAAGTAAAAGTTTTGTTAAGATGGATTTAAGCTGGTTTCATCAGGCGTTTGGGGGAAAAGTCCTTGGAAACGAGATTGGGTGAGGCGATGCTTAGTGTCAGTGTTAGTGTGCCTTCCTGTATGCATCAAGATTCCATGTGAGAATTTCCAGATCACCTCCCCCGGGTGACACGATTTGGGAGAATGAAAACTCGTTTTTGCATCACCTCCGAGGAGAGCCTGTTTGGCAGGAGATGCAGTGTTCCCTGTAGACGCCACCTCTTCTGGGCTTGTTCCTGTGGCAAGGCAAGCAGTGACTCTAGCCTTTGCTCCAATGACGAACAATGAACATTTCAGCAGAGTGGCGGTCACCATCGTTTTTCTGAGAGGGGGGATGCTGACAGGGGTTTTCTTCAGTGTATTTTAGAAGAGGAACGAGGTACGAGTCCCACAGTAAATGAGGAGTGGAGCTATAGAACCTAGGTTTAGCACTTCTGTCCAGCACCACCATCAGTAAAAACTCGGGTCTGTGGTTGGTGAAGAGGCCACAGCACAGTGCGACGCTTCCAGAGAAGCCGGTTCTCACCCCTCCTTTTTGTTATTGGCTCAAAGGAAAATTATCTTCATTTTATTTCAGTGGGTCTCATTATCTTTGTTCTTTGACAGGGAAGTCCTCAAGATGGAGGAGCTAGAGAAAAAGAAGCTTTTTCACCCAGCTAACTTTGGACCCAAAAAATACTGCCTGCGGGAATGTATGTGTGAGGTGGAAGGACAGGTCCCCTGCCCAGCCATCGTGCCTTTGCCCAAAGAAATGACTGGCAAGTACAAAGCTGCTCTGAAAGCCGGTGCTCAAGACTGAGGGCCCACAGCGGAGGCTGCTGATGCCTGGGACGTCCGAGCCTAGGCTGAACGCCAAAGGCCTTATAGACCGAGTGACGGAGAGACAGGGACTCACGTGGGCCCAGCAGCTGGTGAGCTCCCAGGCCTCTCTCCAGAGCCCAGGAAAGCCCAAGCCACCTCCGATTCAAAAAGGCCCCTTTTAGACACAAGCACAAGGGTAGAGAAGCAAGAAGACGAAGCAAGGCTGGGGGATTTAAGTGCAAAGACTTGGTTTGCTAATAAAACAATTTATATTGACGGGATAAATGTGATTTCCTAGTTCCAGAAGACAAGGGGACATTTATGTAAGAAATGTTTTACTGAGTAGTGAAAATGACGGGACTGCCTGGAGTCAGTATCCTTGTATCTTGCCTGTCTGTAAGCCTCTCTCACCAAAGTCTTATTTCCTTCTCCCACTGCCATATTCTAGTCTTTATAACCACAGTGCGCCTAGTTTTAAGGGCTGCAAGAGGAGCTACAAGCCCAAGTAATGCGGGGTTTCAGCATTTATGGGACAGTGGCATAAAGAGTCTTCAAAGTCCTCATGAAATTAAAAAATTTTAATTGCAGGGTTGTAGGGATGATAATCTAATATCAGCATTTCAAGGTAAATTCAGTTTTCTCATCAGGGTGGATTTAAACTTGGGGTCAGTAGCAATCTGTCACATGCTGTTAAATCTATTGGACGCAACTGTGTGGAGACGGGTCCTAAACTGTTATCAGTTTGCTTTTAAAAGAAGTTGGAGTACTCCTGTGCTCTAAGGCGGTAAAACCTAGAAATATGTAATAAAGACTTGATGATTACCTTCTCTGTGATGACTGGATACCACCTATAGTTCCAAGGTCATCAGGAGAAAGAAACAAAGTTCTATCAGGGAAACTAGCAGTGACCAACCAGTGTTGTTCTAGGGGCTACGACTGGAAACCCTGGAAACCTGAGTCCATCTTTCACTAGTTGGGTGTCTTATCACCTGGTCTTGATTTGCCATCGAAGGCTCTTTCCACTCAGTGGGAATCTGTTTCAAAGCATCAGCAACTGGTAGGTCTTCCATCACATTTATCTTCCCCAGATCAAATTATGGCAGCTAGGTGTGCAGTGTAGAGCACACCAGCTTGGAGTTAAGAAGATCTGAGTTCAAATGCAGCCTCAGGCCACTTACTAGCTGTAATGACCTGGGCAAGGCAGTTAACCTCTGTTTGCATCTATTTACTCATCTATAAAATGAGGATGATAACTACCTACCTCCTAGGATTGTTGTGAGATATCTCAAATGAGATAATAACAGTAAAGTGTTTAGCACAGTACTTAGCACATAATGAGTACCATACAAATATTGATTATTATGTAGCTAGGTAAAAGCAAGACAGAAAAAGGAACTTAATGACATTAAACAAAATTGGAGAAAGGTACAGTGGGAGAGTGGGGCTTGAGGGCAAGATGAATAGAGCTGGTGGGAAGAGGATTGTTTTAAAATAGATTAAGCTAAAAGTAAGTGAAGAAACAGTACTGTGTTTGCAGAAGAAGAGGAAAATAGAAACAATTTAAACTCTAAATATTAATGGATGGAATAATCCAATAAAATGGAAAAGTGACAGATTAGCTAAGAAAATAAAATTTGGGGCTTACAAGAAATATTTAAAAACAGAAAAATAAAATAAAAATGAAGGGCTGGGAAAAAATTACCTTGCATCAAGCTAATCCAGAAAAAAGCAGGAGTTGCAATCATACTATCAGACAAAGTGAAAACAGATGTTACAAAACTGAAAAGGGATAAACAAGGAAATGACATTATGCTAAAAGACAGCCAATACCAATATTAACATACGTGCTTCAAATGTCTTAGCATTTAAATTCACAAAACAAATGAGCTACAGGAAGACATACAATGACACAATTGTGGTAGAAGATTTCAATTTTTTTCTCTGTCTTGGATAAGTCTGATGGAAAAAGAAAAGAGAAAATATAGAACTCAACAAATTGCTGAAGAAACTAGAGCTGAAAGATTTATGGCATCTTCTAATGGGACTGCTGAAGAATAAATGTATTTCTCAGAACTACATGGAACTTTTGCAAAAACTTAACCAGGACACAGATGTCATAAGCAAATGTAAAAAGGCAGAAAAAGTAATAATCCTTTGCAGATCGTAACATAGTAAAAATAGTAATCATTTCAGGGAGCACAAACAAAAGACAAAGCCCTCAATGGAGACTTAAGAAAGAAATCCTAAATAATGACTGGGGCAAAGAACAAATCATAGGGACAATTAAAAATTATGTGAAAGAAAATGATAATGATGAAACAGTATACCAAAATTTCAGTGATGCAGCTAAAGCAGCATTCAAGTGCAAAGAGATTTCCCAGCAAACATAAAATAACAAAATAGAAAAAGATATGTGTTTTTAAAAAGTAAAAAGCCATTGGGGCAGCTGGTGGTGCAGTGGATAGAGCACCAGCCTTGGAGTCAGAAGGACCTGAGTTCAAATACGGTCTAAGACACATGATACTTGCTAGCTGTGTGACCCTGGGCAAGTCACTTAACCCCAATTGCCTTGCAAAAAAGGAAAAAAAAGCCATCAAATAGACTAAATAAACACAAAAGAAGCTATTAAAAATTAGCGACAAATCAGAAACAAAAACCTACAGAAATGAAAAATAAGTTTAAATAAACTGAAGAAAATAAAAGCTGGTTCTTTCAAAAGACTAATAAAATTGGTAAAACAAGTCAATCTGATTTAAAGAGGGCAGAAAAGCAAATCAACAAAATCAGCATAAAAAGAATAATCAGAAGCTATTACATGCAATTAGTTATATACTAGGTGCACTGGGCCTTAAGTCAAGAAGATCTGAGTTCAAATCCAACCCTCAGACACGTAATAGCTATGTGACCCTAGGCAAGTCACCTAATTCTACCTCCGTTTCCTCATCTGTAATGTAAGTTGGGGAAGGAAATGGCAAATCCAGTATCTTTGCAAGAACACCCCAGATGGGGTTAAAAAGAGTTAGACATGACTGAAACAACTGACCAACAAAACACAAGCAAAAGAGGAATACTCTCAAAAATAAAAAAACACCCAAATTTAACAGAACTAGAGATCTTAAATAATATAATCTTAGAAAAAAGAAACAACTAGCTGCAAAGGAACTACCAAAATAAAAATCTTACCCTGATGGAATCACAGGTGAATTCTTAGCAAACTTCTAAAGAACAATTAGTACCAATACTATACTATACTAACTATTCTCAAAAACTGAGAAAGGAAAAAACCTTACCAGATTCCTTTAATGAGACAAGCACAGACAATATCTAAAGCAGAGAAGGAAGAACACAGAACCACAGACCAATATCGTTAATGAACACTGATGAAAAACTTTTTGACAAAACCCTATCAGACAAACTACAGCGATTCATCCAAGAAATCATTAATCATGACCAGGGTAGATTTATACCAGATGCAAGAATGGTTCAAACATTAGCAAAACAATCATCAAAATTATATTGGAAACAAAAACATCCAAAACCACATGGTTATTTCAATAGATGTGGGAAAAGCCTTTTACAAAGTGTAACATTCGTTTATGCTAAAAAAAAAAAAAAAAAAAACCCTACCAAGTATAGACATAGAGGGACCTTAAATATTATTAAAAGAATCTAAAAACAAAAGCAAGGGTCATGTACAATGGGGATAGACTAGAACCTTTCCTAATAAACATGGTTAAAGCAAGGATGCCCACTCTTCCATTATTTGATACAATTCTTGAGATGCTAGCAATAAGATGAGAAAGAAATTAAAGGTGTAAAGAGGTAAAGAGAAGAAACATTTACTAGTGATATGTATACTTGGAAAATCCAAGGAAATCAGAAACAATAGTTTAAGCAAAGGTGCAGGCTATAAAATTAGAAACAATATTTTAAGCAAAGGTGCAGGCTATAAATCTTCAAAGACCAACAACATTTCTATATAATAAAATACAAAATAACAATAATAAAAAGAAATCCCATTCTAAATACCTACAAAATGCATAAATCTTCAGGGGATCTACAAAAGCACACACACAAAAATTTGTGGAGATTCAATTATAAAGTGCTTCTTAATAAAGAGCAAATTAAATAGCTGGAGGAATATTTGGTGCTCATGGCTGAGCCCTGTCAAATATAATGAAAATGACAACATTATCAACTTAATTTACATTTTAATGCTATGCCAATCAAACTATTAAAGGGATACTTTATAGAACTGTATAAAATAACAAAATTCAGTTGGAAAAATAAAAGCTCTAGAATATCAGGAGAAATTATGAAAAGAAAGTGAACAGCACTTGCAAATGATAGCAGTCATCAAAAATATCTCCTATTGGCTAAAAAATAGAGGTAGGGGAATCAGGATGGAATCCACCAACCTAGTGTTTAAAAGACAAAAACAAAAAAAAATTTTTAGAAAAGAACTCCCTATTTGCTAAAAACTGATAGGAGAACTGGAAAGCAGCCTGGCAGGAATTAGGCTCAGACCAACTATTTACACCATGTTCTAAATGAACATGATGTGTTCTAAATGATATGTGACTAATATTTCACATCAAACAAAAAATTAGGAGAAGCAAACTATATCTCTCAGAGCTATGGGTAAGAGATACATTCTTAACCAAAGGGAATAAAAGACACAGAAAATTTTAAAAACTTTGATTACATGAAACTGAAAAACTTCAGCACAAACAAAATTAATATGCCCAGGATAAGGGAAGTGGTCAAAATGGGGGGAAATGTATATAGAAATTTTTTCTGATAAGGGTTTGGCATACACACACACATCTACCTTGTTCATATACATATAAGACCAAAAGCCATTTCCCAATAAATAAGATGTCAAAGGATATAAACAAAGAGTCCTCAAAAGAAAAACTACAAATTATTTACCAATTTAAAAGACTTCCAAATTACTTTGGGCAGCTAAGTGGTAAATAGAGTGCCAGGCTTGGAGTCAAGAAAATTCATCTTCCTGAATTCAAATCTGGCTTCAGACACTAGCTCTGTGACCCTGGGTAAGTCACTTAATGCTATTTGCCTCAATTTCCTCTTCTGCAAAATGAGCTGGAGAAAGAAATGGCAAACCACACCAGTATCTTTGCCAAGAAAACCCCATATGGGGTCATGAAGAGTTGGACATGACTGCAAAACGACAAGAAGTCACTAATAATAAAAGAAATGCACATCAAAACAAACACTTGACACCCTGAAAATTGGCATAGTTGACAGAAGATTGGAAGTCAGAGTTGAAGGAAATGTAGAGAGAGAAGCACATATGCATTTTTGGTGGAGCTGTGAATCAGTACGCACATTTTGGAAACCAATTTGGAATTATGCAAATAAGGTAACTAAAATGTCCAAATGTCTATACCCTTGACCCAGAAACTTTATTAGGCTCGTATCCCAAGGAGGCCATTGATGAAATCCCCAAGTACGGTAAAATAGCACTTTTTGTGATAGGCATTGCTATCAACTGAGGAATGGCTAAACAAATTGTGTTAAATGAATATAATGGAATATTCTTTGCTGTAAGAAATGACAAATGTAGTGAACACAGAGAAATATGAAAACATCTACACAAACTAAGATAGAGTTAAGCAGAGCCAGAAACAAAATACATGATAATTATCACAATGTAAATGCAATGAATCACAAAAAATAAAAAGCGAATGCTGCAAAATTATAAAGAAGCATGGTTCAAAAGAAGAGGTAAGAGCAGATACTCCCAACCCCCACCCCTTTCCAGAGGTGGGAGACCCACAAGTGTTACATATATTTTCAAACTTTTTTGGCTGATTTTTTTTTAAATACTATTTGTTATATATGATGGCTCTCTGAGGGAGGGGTACCAGTGATATTAAAAAAAAAGACATCAATAAGAATTTATTTTAAAAAATTTAAATTTTGAGTTGTAGGAAGTGAGCACAGATTATCTTCTTAGTGTAGCAAAAATATCTTGCAGATAGCACAAGATTTCTAAGATGTCAAAGTAGAAAGGTACTTCATAACTCTCCTCGTTCCTCATTTTCACAGAGGTACAGGAAGGGTGTCTACAGCTCCCAACTCCAAGCTCAGCAGCCTCTGTACTGTACCACACTGCTTGTTTTCATTTTTTCAGCTTGGTTCATGGTTACTTCCCCCTAGTGATTCTTTAAAAGGTAGTTTAGTTCATTCTTTCAACTCAAAACACACAACCACTAAAATTTGTTACTTTATTTTTTTTTTCGAGTTTCAGTACAAGGATGTGGCGTAGTGCATGCAAATGTACAAATCAACACTACATGATCTTGGGGATGAGATGGCTTATTCAGCCATCAGTCAGTATCCCCGTATGGACCAAGTACAAAGAGATAAGCTTCCAACTTTCAAGATCAGTTACCTGAATGCCAAGAGGACTAATCTACTACATTGACCACAATGACACACACCTAAAAAGTACACTTTAGTGTCTTAGCAAAAATACACTGAGCTACATGTACAATAAGTATGCTTGATTAGTGTATTTAACAGGAAAAATACAAGGCATAATGCAGAGAAAATCAATTTTATCTGATGTATAAAACCAAAATGTGTCTATCACATTCTCCAGTCTTAAGAAGAGAAGCTAAAAACCAACCCCTCTGGCTCCACACAACTCAAATCTCTGGTTAGAGATGATGCTGTCTTGGCTCAGATGGCTTACAAAGGGGTGGAACATCCACAAGGAAGGCAAGGGCTTAAAGCTAGTTTCAAATCCAGGGCCCAACACCCCTCAACCTTGTGCTGGCATGATAGTGGATTTAAGGGGCAGTAACGGACAGGGGGAAGGATCAATCACAAACAATTTGGATCCTCAGAATACCCCTATATTCCTATCACATGAACACAGTTCCAGAACTTCACTTTGGAGTAATATTGTTCCTGTGAGGAAACAGATTTGTTTTACTTAATACATTCAATAAACTCAGTCTAAAATGTTCCCAATAAATGTGTCTCTTAGTGCTCTTGGAAATTGAGAGACTGCTGCCAGTGTGACTGTTAAGGGGTAAATTTAGTCAATTACTTTTAATATAAATTGCCAACTAAAGCAGCCCTCTCATAGGAAAAATGGCATCTTTAATTATAACAGAAAAGAGGTATTTAGTTCTTGAAGTTTCTATGAAGAAACTTTGTCACAAGGAAATGATAATCTGAGATGGGTTAGCACTTCATTTGAAGAGTTCTGGCAACACTGTCAACCTTAACATAAGTACGCAAAACACTGGACATCAGAAAGGCCCTTTGAGAAGGTTTACTGGACTTTGGCTCTGCCTACAATTTAAGTAATACACAAGTGAAACCTGATTAACACAGTAACAATTACTCAGCTGCTGCTTTGTTCCCTAAACCACTTAATTATATTTGTATTGTTCACCCATCCCAAATTCCTTCCCGTACACACACACACACACACTCACTCACTCACTCACTCACTCCACTCTTTCATTAATAAATCAGAATCAGAAGGCAAAAAGTGCCTTTTCCTCCCAATTCTAACCCTTTTCCTTGGCCAGCAGAGCCTGAATGTGCAGCAGTCTGAACAGCTTCAATTTTTTTTTTAGATTCCTAGAAGAGATTCCATGATAGAAAGTGATGAGCAACAGTCACTCACTAAAAACAGAAAAATGACTTTTGTCATCTTTTGCAAAGAACCAAAAGAACAGAACCTGGAAACTGGTTGAGATCACAGGGTGCTAAGGGGGACATGATTTTTAGTCAGTAACACAAGTTTTACTGCCAGAACTCTACTTAAATCTGAATGTGGCAATAGCTCCAGTTCTTGATAGAGCTACGTTAAACTTAACCCTTAAAGTTATTCAGGTTCTGTTCCTAAGAATTGTACCTACCACTAAGGAGTAAATTAAATATTCTGCTTTTTAGCCTTGAAATGAGGCCTCCGTGACAAGTCAATAATGCAGCTGTATTGTAACAATCTTATATTGTGCTTTAAAACATATAACTCTTGTAATTCTAAAAGCAGTTGTGAAAAATGTCTCATCTGCCTTGCTAACTTGAGGGAGGAATGCCTAGAGGTGACCAATCTATCCCAAAAGTTATCTGAATTTTTCCTCTGCTTCAAGAAAATGTGCCTTTTCCCTAAGTACTAGAAGAGGCCTAAGTAGAAGGAGTGGTTTTTCCAAAGTTCCATGGCAAGGATTCCCAAAGAATACATATGTCATGATTACATCAGCCACTATACATAGAGAAAGTTGTAGGCTTTTGTGTTTTCAAGAGGGTGCTTACAGACCAGAAGTTTACCCCTCACACCTTCAAACAGCAGCAGCCAACTGTTGGGGACTCAACTGACTTGCTGACAATGGGATTGCAGGACACTTTGGGTTCAGAAACAAAAAGGGGCAAGGCCTGGATAGGAATTTTAACATTCCACTGCTCACCCCTCATTCCTACCTCCTCCCAAAAAGATTTCCACAAAATACCCTAAAAAGAGAACTGATGAAAGGTCTAACATCTGTCTCTAGCATCACGTCCCATGTTTCTATTAGAGTAAACAAGTACAAAGTTGGACACAGGCTGTAGTGCTAGGGAATTCGGCCTCCTTAACTAGCTCGGTTCTAGTAAGCTACAAGATGAAGCTTTAGTATGACCTATCCCCATCAAGACCACAGACCTCTGCCTCAGCACAACCAAGGTTTGCTCTTGGTTTAGTGGAAGGCCAGTTTTTAAGGCTGCCCTGTAATACTGCACAATGATTCAAAGAGAAATAATAAAATTGACCCGTGTGACCTTAGCTAGTTCTATTCTGGCCCCCACAGACCTGCATAGCATTTAGTTAACAATTCTGTGGTGACTACTTTAAATCCCTTCTTAAAGGGAAAAAACAAGAACAGGAAAACAGCAACTGAATGCTAATTCACCTGTTCATGTACCCCTTTTTATTAAGTTACTGGAAACATCTCAGCAAAAGTGCATAGCATAAAACTTGCAGATTCCCTTTCATAATTTTGTGCACCTAAATTTGTCCCCACTCGAAGCCCCACCATCCATTCCTCCCATTCTCATCTTGCCTGGCAGGCACCCCTGCTAGAGGTGGTATTCCTGTGCTTGCTTCCCTCAGTTAGCTTTCTCTTTCTGCTTGACTAATGCATGCTTCAGCTCTTTCAAGTTCTCAGTCAGCACTTCCACCTCATCCAAGCGGCCACACTGCTTAGCATCAAAAATGTATGCCTTGATATTGTCAATCTGCTGGAGAAGTAGCTCTTCCTCTATGAGCTCTTCTCCCTCAGTCCCACTGTCTTCCATCTCAAAGGGATTGGTACAGACTGGCTCCTCAAATGGGTTGCCAGGATTAGGAGGGCTGGAATGCTTTTGATAAGGAAGCTTATCCACTTCAAAGGGATGGAGAATGGGGCCATCTGCATCACCAGTGGGTTCATCGTCCTCATCTTCAAAAGGATTATATTCTTTTTTGACACCGGAGACAGCTGAATGAGGTGAGGAACCTCCATGAGAAATATCTTCAGCAAATGGGTTAGCGAAGCCTTCACCTCCAGGACTAGAGACGTCTTCCTCTTCAAAGGGGTTCGAGGAAGCTGCCTCATTTTGATATACCCCAGTGTTCTGCTGTAACATTTCCTGCCCTAGCATAGGAAACACAGGTTTCTCTTTATTTGGCTCCTGGCCTGAGTCGGGAGAAGGGCTCTTAAGATCCGCGTTACTTTGGACCGAAGAGGGACCCAGGTCCAAAACATGCGCTATCTGGTTCTGAGGTTCCATGCCACACTCCCGCTGAAAGAGCTTGTCTTTGAAGTCCAAAGAACGAGTCCGTGAGTGCTGAGAGATTACCTGGGACTGCTCCCTCTCCCACTCTTTCTCCCGAAGAACCTGCAGCTGCTCTCTTTGGAGATCTTCCTCTTCGGCCTGCCTTCGGGAGAGCTCGATGGCCTTCTCCGTCTGCTGCTGGTCATACTCATCCTGGAGCTGGCGCAGGTTTTCCTGAAGCATGCGGACCTCATCGAGCCGGCCCGCTGCCTTGGCCTGCTTAATGAAGGAGGTGATGTTGTGGATCTGCTGCAGGAGTGGGTCCGACTCCTCTCTCTGGCCTGGCCCGCTGGACATGGGGAGCCAGCCCTCTGCTTTCCTCACAGCGCCCTTCTGCACAAAAGTCTCTTCTCCATTCACTGCGCCTCGAGAAACCAAGTCTTTCTGCCTCTCTTCTGACCTTCGCTGTAATTCTAGGGCAGCCTAAAAAGTCCAAATGCAGAAAACAAACAGTAAGTCCTGCACCAGGGTTTCCATAGGCTATCACACTAAACCACACCTCGGGGGTTCCTGCCAGTTCCAGTCTAAGATGTTTTATACAAGTGAATCACAGTAATGTGGGGGAGGAGAAAATTTATTTTGATATATTTCTAGGAACTGGGAAGTCAAAGGTAGAAAAGAGGAATAGGTAAAGGAAAAAAAATCCACAAACAAGAGAACATGAAAGCAAAGAGCAAGCTTATGTGCTTAAGCTGCAAGCTTATCTGCACCAGTCTATGAGAAGGAACGCCTAACTGAGCACTACAAGCAACAGTCCTCAGTTCTGCGAGGTGAGACGTGCACGGAGCTGACTAGCCCCCGATAACCAGCTTCACCTGTCTTTCCAGGATCAGTTTCCTTTCAATTGCCTGCTTCCTTTTTTTTTTCAGTTCTTCATACTGTTCTTTGGTTGGCAATGACATCAAGCCAAGTAACTTTTCCTGCAAAGAATCACAGATTCCTTTGAAATAAAATTATTTGGCTGAACATAAATACTTAACTGTAAGGGACCTTAGATTCTGAATTTAAGGCATAGCCAGACATTAATAACATCAACAGCTGGAAAGAAAACATCTAAGCCTTAAATCTTTGTTTCCAAATAGGGGAGTTTTTTTCCTTACAAAACCATACAAACGATACACAGGTTATTTCTCTCTCAAAAAGCTTTTTGAAACAAATTATTAAAACTCTACATTTCCAATTAGAATTAAGAATTTTTTGCCAGTGAACTCCCCAGAGAATGGTTAAAGTATTTCTGTCTCAGAAGAAACAGCCACACTGATGAAGAAACATTTAGCAATAAAATGCCTGAACATAGCTCTGCTAACAGTAGGGCTTTACCTGTACAAAAAGCGTAGCCGAATATCTTATCATTCTCTGGAGCTGCAAAGCTCTCGGATGTGGCTGGGGCTCCTGGTTCAAGCCGAGTGTTAAAATCTTCTTACTGAATTAAAATAAACACATCAATGTAATGTGCTTGACCATCAATGAAAACACAGTGGCAGAAGCTTATTTTGCAAAGAGTGACTGAGGAAGCAAAGGAGGGAACCAATAATGACATCAGACATTCCACACCTGGAAAACAGTGCCTGAAACACAGACACTCAACACACATACACATACTCTCTCTCTCTCTCTCTCTCTCTCTCACCAATGGAGTTGTTACTGTCCCAGTTCTCCCAAAGGATAACTGTGTCCCTCCACATCTCACAGGCCTTTTGCTTCCTGGCAGCAAAACCCCAAAGCATGTGTGGTGGGGACTCATTATTCAGAAGCCAAAGAGCATTCTTAAAAAGCACCTAATTGGAAACTGCCATGACATGAAAGCATAAAAGTGCTTATCTTCACTTTCAATTGTACACGTTTCCAGCACATAGTCAAACACCAGAAAAGCATTCTTTTCATTGGCCTCATAACGTTTAATTAAATGCAGAACATTGTCCATGCAGACCAGCAACTCAATTATGGCCTATGTGCCTAATTTTCAACACCTCCTTCCAAATGATCCTTACCTTAAAGCATCTATTAATTCATACACTTTCTGCACTTCTACTCGGAGGTCATTAGCATGTTCCAGACTGTAGGTTGTCTCCCCAGCACTGAGGAGAAAGCATATATTCATCTGCATTAGATCATATCTTGGCCACAAAAAAAAGCTACGTAAGAAAATCAGAGGCAACATCATGAAATGAACCATAACAAGGATAATTTCAAGGTAGAAGTGGTGTTTCAATATATTCTATACAAGTGAAAAGAAAATGATTATTTATTTTAGAAGTGAACCTTTAATTTATAACCCCTAGTGCAATATACTCAGGCTTAGGCCTTAAAACAAAATCCATCAAAACAAAATTCAAGTGATCTGGTTTTTACTCAAAGGATCATATCCAGAGGCATTTTACAGATGAAAAAACTGAGTCTCAGAAAAGTTAAGTAAGTTTTCTGAGGGCTGATACAGAGTTACATAAGGCAAAGCTAAAGAGAGATCCCAGGTGTCCTGAAGGCCTCACAATTCAGTGCTCTTCCCAATACATCACACTGCCTCCCCGAGTTGGGTTAAAGCTAGCAAATTACTTAGAAATTGTTTTTACATGCAACTGGGAAATAAGATATACAGGCAATGGGGTACAGAAATCTATCCTGCCCTACAGGAAGATAGAAAGGAAAGAGGATGAGAGAAGAGGGGGGAGAGTGATAGAAAGGAAGGCAGATTAGGGGAAGGGGTACTCAGAATGCATGCTGTCTTGGGGAGGAGGGAAGGGAGAGATGGGGAAAAAATTTGGAACTCAGAATCATGTGGAAGTGAATGCTGAAAACTAAAAATAAATTAATTAATTTTTTAAAAGCTAGCAAATTACACCATGTCCTATAAGACACATGGAAAGATGCTCTAAAACAAATTAGCTTAAGTAAATAAGATTTGAAAGAAATTGGAATTTTCCCTCTTAGACACTACCCAGCCTAGAAGCCTAATCAAGGCAGCACAAATTTTAAGTATTGTCCATGCCATTAGTAAGAAATAGTAGGGTAAGTGTAAAGAGTGTTAGCCTGGAATCCAGACATCAGTGGTAGATATTAACATCCTGGTAGATATTAACCAATGGTGAGATCATGGATAAGTCACTTAACATCCAAGCCACTTTCTCACATATGTAATATAAAGAATAAGACCAGCATTAATATCATAGTTGGTATAGTGCAGTAGAAAGAGCACTGGGCTTGGAATCTGCAAGACTCCTCTTCTTAGGTTCAAATCCAGCTTCAGACACTTACTAGCTGTGTATCCCTGGACAAGTCACTTCACCCTGTTTGCCTCAATTTCTTCATCTGCAAAATGAGCTAGAGAAGGAAATGGCAAACCTCTCCAATGTCTTTGCCAAGAAAATCCTAAATAGGGTCATGAAGAGTTAGACATAACTGAAATAACTGAACAACAACAATATATCTCAGGATTATTGCAGAAAAAAAAAATTTTATGGGAAGCTAGGTGGCGCAGCGAATAGAGCTCTGGCCTTGGAGTCAAGAGGACCTGAGCTCAAATCCAGCCTCAGACACTTTACATTTACTAGCTGTGTGAGACTTTGGGCAAATCACTTAACCTCAATCGCCTCACCAAAAAAGCAAAAAAAAAAAAAAGCATTTTGCAAGACTTAAAAGACTATATCAACATGAATTAATTATCAGAACTGAAACGGTTGTGGAGGCCGATTTAATCTAACCTCTTGCCCAATAAAAAGAAGCCCCTCTCCAACTTCCCTTGGATACTTCCAGTGAGGGGAAGCTCTAGTATAAAATGAGTATAAAAGCAGCTCATTCTCGCGCTAGTCAGCTCTCATTACTAAGAGGGAAGATCTACCTTCTTATAATTTTTACTACTAATTCTAGTTCTTCCCACTGGAGTCTCAAAAAAAAAAAAAAATCAACTCTCTTCCACACAGTAGCCCTTCAGATAACTGAAGAGTGTGATCATGTCTCCCTAAGTCTTGTTCTTTTCCAGACTAAACCTCCCTAGTTCTTTCAAATGTTCCTTATGTGACATGGTTTTTAGAGCCCTTGACATTTTGGCTGCCCTCCTCTTAACAAAAATCTAGTGTGTTAATGTCCCGTTTACAGAAAAAGAAATACATTTCAAAGATCTCTCAGCTGATGCAGGCTTGAAAATGGCTACTCAGCTACTACTTGCTGAGTTTATGCTGAGCAAACCGAAAAAGGCTTCGGCTTTTATTGATTTATTGATTTATGTATTTATTTACTTTATTTTTATTGCCTAGAAGGCAAAGCTGACTTTTTTTTTTTAGATGTGAGTTTTAGACTTATAAATAAATCTGTTTAATGGCCAATTATTTCATGATGTGATAGAAAGAAGAGTGAATTGCTGAGTTTTAGTCCCAGCTCTTCCCTTCTCTGAGCCTCAGTTTCCTCCTCTGTAAAATAAGGGGTTAGAACAGATGTCCTTTGACATTCTGAGTCTTTTATACTTGCAAAATGGCCTTTGTGATCTTTGTGACCTATGAACTAAAAGTCTTTTTTCAGTTTTCCAAAGACATTAGTCACTAGAAAGTCAATCTAAAGAGATAAAAAGAAATCTCATCCATACCTATTTTGTCCCTCCAGAAAGGGGAAACTAGGGAAAAGTAGGAATAGATGTCAAGGGACCTGGGTGGGGAAGAATGAAAACTTTGACAAGAAAGAAGCAAAGCTAGGATGGGGCAAGGGAAGACTTGGGACCAGAACTGGTAAAGAGTCTCAGGGCTTAAGATGCTCGTGAGGGTGAAGAGAAAGGGGGCGGAGGGAGGTGGCACAAAATAAAGGCAGAAGAACATTTCCAGCCTCCTTCCCTCCCATTTCTCTTCCTTCTCCCTGCACCCTTTCCATTCCTCCTCTTACCAATCACACCAACAGACAAAGGCAAGAGGAAAAGGAAGCACAATGGTGGGTAGCAAGAAGAAAAAAGGGCATGTCAGGATGTGCCTTCTCTCCTTTCATCCCTTGCCACCAAGAATCCTGTTCCCTACTACTGAAAGACACTTCGGTGAGATAAGAACCAGGGAAACGAAGTTGGGGTGAGGCAGGGGCAGAATGTCTTCTGGGGCCACCAAGTCTGCAGCAACAGAGGGTGGAAAGAGGTGGACTCTTAATTTGTATCATATTTGTGGGCAAATCATTTCTAAAGGCCTCAATTTCTCCATGTGTAAAATAAAGGAATGTAGAGTAAATGACCTCTAAGCACCCTTTTAGCTTTAACATTCATGAGCCATTCTATGCTGTAGTACTTCCCCCACACACACATTAATTGTACATAACATTTTTATTATTATTCTTATTAACTGATCTAATAAAATTTTTATTTTTCAGGTGCTGAACTTTCTCTAGGAACGAAAACCAAATGCACCACCTTACCAACATGGAAAATAGATAGCAGGGTGGCTTACTTCAGTGATGCTGCCATTTTAATGTACTCAGGAGCTTTCTGGTCAACTTTCTCCATACAAATTCGTAGTTTCTGAAAGAGGGCAAAAAAGGGGGGGAAATGGAATTTTTCCATTTCAAGAAAAATTTACTTACAAACAGATCTAGGTCAAGAGGCTAAGACGTGCCAATTTCACCCATGATGGAATGCAAAGGCCATTTCTTTATCAACTGATTCAACAGGAAAAGAAGAGAAGGGGAGGGGATTTATGTCCCTGAGTAAAGCAGAGATGAGTCACATGATAAATCAGTTTGTTCAGCATCATGGAAGAACTGATTCCTTCACTTTTCCTTGACAATAATTGTTCCCAGTGCTCTTGTCCACCCTGAAGCAGGAAGATATCAGAAAGAAATTATGGAATCCCTATTCACCTTTTTTCAAAAGGGAGTAAAAATCTGAGTAGTTATTTGTAGAAAAAAAAAAGCTGGGTTAAAAAGTAACAGAAGTAATGAAATCCATGACAAGAGATAGGGATTGTTCAATTTTCCTTCTCTGCCCCCCCCCAAAAAAAGAGGAAATCTGCAGCTCAGTATAGTGATTAATACAGCATTTTCACCCACAAGGATTTCAAAATGTTTTCCATGCAAAAACGCAGACCTTAGAAAGAGAAGTGCAACTACTGGCAGATGGGCTTCAACTCTCCTTCTACCACAGGGTGGGACAAATGGGGAAGATCGTACCATAAGCTTGTCTGCTACCAGAATAATTAATAACATTAGGATATGAGATATGTGGGCAACCTTAAACACGACAACCCCAGCATCTCATAATCAGTCCTCCGGCCCAATGTTCCTCAATCTCTGCCCATGACCAGGGACATTTCCCCAGAGCCAAGCCTCCAACCAGCCTTGCCTCTGGCCCTCTACCATCTTCTTCCCATGCATCCCAGCCATCCTGCCACCATTTATCACTGTCACCAACATATTCACTTGCCTAGTCACAAGCTTGCAATAGTGAGTGAGGAAACCCAGGATGTTACAACACACCCAAAAGCCTAGCCCTAACCCTGCACAGGAGATCCAGAATAACTTGAAGAGAGGAACCTGCTGCTTAAAGAATCTGGGGTACGACATAGATGCTTCCCCTATGCATACACCAATATCCATTTGGCACACAGCCCCAAGAAAGTGAGCAATGTTCCACCTCATAAAGCTTCACAATGTCAGGAGTGTGCTCCTTCTCATCAATCTGCTGCTCCCTCTTAAGCAAGGCATCTCTACAATGTCCACAGCAGCGGATCCGCTCGTCATCCTTCTCATCCAATACGGAGCTAACACTGCTCACGCTACTGATGCTGCCCCTTCGAGAACCATGGACGCTATTAGGTGACTGGTTGGGACTGGTGTGGGAGGTCAAGGAAGCCTCTTTGCTGGCACTGGTGAGCTTGCCTAGAAACACACAAATCACAAGTAATTCAGTAATGACCCTAAATCAAATTTCCCCTTCTCCCCTCTCATTAAATTTCACACGTGTGCATTCAGACTTGGGACCTGAAAATTTTCGAAGTACTCCAATTACAATAAACCAAATGTACTATTCAGACCCAGCCTCCCCGGTTCAGCTTTTATGATAAACTTCATGCGGGTTATAGGCTAGACTTGTGCCTGGCTCTCCACTGCCCAAATAAAATCCAAATAAACTCCTCAGCTTTGCATTCAAGGTCCTCTCCGATCCTGTCTCAATCTACTTTTCAGCTATATCTCCTACGACTCTACATGCCAATCAAAACGAACGATTCAGTACTCACTGAATGTTCCTTATACTCTCCCAACTCCTCACCTTTGCCCATACTGTTTTTATCTTATGGAATACTCTTCTCATCTCAGGGACAAAATTCTAGCCATTCTTCAAGAACCATCTCAAACACCACCTTCTTAAAGGTCTCCTTAATCACCACCCTCCTTACACTCACTTTAAAGTAAACTGAACTCAACTGAACCCCAATAGCATTTTGTTCCTCTAATGAAATTCATCACAGTCCCCCTAGTACAATCATCTCTCTCTCCACGTCTTATCTCTCCTAAATTCCTAGAGGGTAGGAGGCATTTCTCATTCACTTTCCCCTTGCACAGTGACTTGCAGCATAAGCATCGTAGGACCATAATAAATGTACATGTTGAACAAATAAATGGGGAATAGCTTTCCTTCAAAGTCGGTAAAGTTCGTACAGCAGGCACTTTGTCTCAGAAAGAAAAGTGTAAGTATGAGGGTAGAATAGGGTGGGATGAAACCAGCAGACTGGTCCTCTCGTGAAATTCTCAAGTTCTCCTCTCCTACTCTTAACAAAGTACTCTCTTGCCAATTATACACAAAGGAAAGATCAGCAGTGTTTGATCAATCTTTGTGACATTATACCCTAACTTTTAAAAAAAACATTGTTCTATCCTTCAGCTATTTTCATCCGGCTAACATGTGTTCCTGATCCTAATGGCAGTATCAAAATCCAAAACCAAGTTCTTAAATCTGAACCCCAATGCCAAGGCTCCAAACATGAGGTGTCCTCAGTAAGGCGGAACCCCCACAGCCACTCATTCGCTCTCTTTCCCATCACCTTAGTTACAAGAAAGGACAACAAGAACACATCACCCTCCCACGTCACCTACTTGCCAAGGGAAGGCTGATCAGCTCCATACACTTCTTGCACATAATCGATCCACAAAGGCGGCAGTGGTGACGGCGGTTACGGATGCTGAACTTGTTCCCACAGTCAGGGCAGAAAGGAACATCCTGATCATTGACCCACGGCACGACCGACTTTTCTATCGCTTTTATGAAAAACCAAAAACACAGATGGCATCCTTGAAACTGATGTGGTCAGAGAGTCAAATACACATGACAAAGGAACTTGGAAAACATTCTGAACCCACCTCTTATTTTAGCAGACTCAGTATTTGTTCTGTCAAAGGCTGTAAGCTATCAGAGAAAATGATTCCAGACAGAAGAAGTCAGGTAAGGAGCATACTTTAATTAAGACAATCATTGTGTGAGAGTTAGAACAATTCAACTGTCCTCAGAATTCTATCTGTGATCTATAACCACCTAATCAAAAAATAATTCTCTGCTCAACAGATTCAAGTGGCCTCTGCAGTCCATTCTATATCACCTGCAGACAGGGGGTAACCCTTTCCCCATACTACTCGCCACTACACCCAAGCGCCTCCATTTCTCAGCTGGCAAACTGAGACTGTCTTCTACTCATTCCACACCCCTCCCTGCCAAAAAAAAATACACAAGGATTTTTGCATAGAGGTTTCAATAAAGCCCATCTACACCCTCAGGCCAATAGTGCCTGTAATGGAAAAGAAAGGATTTTTAGGAAACAAGTGAAATGGGTCCAATGATAGAGAGTATATATATTATCCAAGGATCAGCCTAAATCCAGGGAAGCTCATCACCACACTGGCTGCAAGTGTTTTTTTTTTTTTTTCTGTCACAGCAACAATCTGTAACCCATCTATTAAGTTGTAGAAAAGTTGGTATCTGCCCTGGTGACAAGAACATTCACACAGATGAGACCAGATCATTGGAGCACTGAAGTTAAGGCAAAATGGTGCCAGAGGAGAGCTCATATCAAACAACAGAACAGTCTATGTATAAATGTGTTACTGCATGATGTACTTATCCCAGTCTAGCAAGCCCTCACAGAAAAAGTTCCTTATTCCAAAGGGTTCCTCCCCGCCCCCCCCCGGGGGGGGGGCGGGGAGGGGGAGGGAGGGGGAATTATTCAGATGAAACAACATAACATACCCTATTACAGAGTTTTCAATTAGGATACCTAAAGGAAAAGCAATTGGGAGAACTACAAAGCTTTTCAATCAAAAGTCTGTCATTGGTGGTGGTTCTAGACATAAAACAGAAAAAAAGAAGCCAAGTCTGTCAAATCTGTCTACACAGATACTCCTAAGGGAGTATCTAGTATGGTCAAATCTCCTCATTCTGTAGGTAGAGCAAGTGAATTAATATGGTTATTTAAATAATTTAACACTTGTCCAAGGTCACAAAGCTAGCTGGTGACACACCCAAGGCTAGAACCCAGGTCCAGTACTCCTAGTATTCTTTCCACTATACCATGCTTACATTGCCACATGCAGCAAATCCTTTAGCAAAATCAGCCTATTCTTTACCATGTGACCCTGGGCAAATTACTTAACCTCTCTACCTCAGCCTCAGTTTCCTCATCTGTAAAAAGGGCATAATAGCACCTACTTTACAGAATTGTTGTAAGGCTCCAATGAGATATATATTAAACACTTTACAAACATTAAAGCATTATATTAATGTTAGCTATCATTATTATTATTATTATTGCTAAACTCCAGTGATTATATATTATAATCTTCTTCAAACTGAAGTTAAATATTTATGCATTAGCATCAGTCACCCAAATCATACATTTGCATATTATTCATTTTTCCTTGCCTTTAATTACCAAATCTACATATATACTTGCTAAAAAAAATCAGGGGAAAAATTTTACCTTTTCCAACCTGATTATTAATTTATTGACTTCGACAACATAGTGGTCAATTCTGGCAGCTCGGTGTTTTTTGAAGTCAGAAAGATGACTTCTCACAGCACCTAAGGGACAAGAAGGAAAAAAAAATAATATGTAAATTTTCTAATTAATCTGCAGAGTTCTGTATCAACTATGTATAGGAAACTACTCATTTCTTTTTTTTCATTTGTTTTTTGTTTTTTGGTTTGGTTTTTTTTTTTGCTAGGCAATGGGTTAAGTGACTTGCCCAGGTCACACAGCTAGTAAGTGTCAAGTGTCTGAGGACAGATTTGAACTTAGGTTCTCCTGACTCCAGGGCCGTTGCTTTATCCACTGTGCCACCCAGCCACCCCCGAAACTACTCATTTCTTTACACTGTATTTACTATCTACCTCAATTCTAATGAAATTTTAAGGGCGGACCAAAAAACCTAGGTTTTTAGAAATATTTAAATTGGAAACACGACATCTGCTTTGAGCTCTCTAGGTCCAGTGATACATTCTTATAACCTTGCATCCAAAGAGGGTCTCTCAACAGGCTGGTCCCAACCTCCTATCCAATTCCCAACACAAACCCTGCTGGAGGACAAGCTGGTCTAATCACTCCTAGCTCTGAATCCTTGCTCATGCTTTTCCCCCTAAAATTCCTCAATGATCTACTTCAAGCATGTGTCCATGATGTTTCCCATATCACTCTTAAGTTATAATGAAAGCTCCCTTCCAAGAGTTCTTCCTCCTTTCACCTTCTGGAACCAGTCACTTAACCCTTTCTCATCTGCTGAATTGTATGATTAGTGATTAAACACCTGTATCCAGAGGCAGCACAATATATAGTGTGCTGGACTTAGAATCCAGAAGACCTGGTTCAAATTCCATGTATTCGAAAGGTACTAGCTGTGTGACCATGGGCATCTCTGAGCTGCCCTAGTTTCTTTATCTGTGACAGAGATACCTCACAGAGTTGCTGTAAAGTTCAAATGAGAATTATGCAAAATGCCTTAAAAAGCTTGAAGCTGTATAAATGCCAGCAATCTTATTGTCATTTTCTGAACTATACCATGAGCTCGTTCAGATTACGCTCATTTAGGTTATGTTAACCTTGGTGAATACCAACTTCCACAGCGCAAAACACGCCTGATTTTCAACAATTATCTGCTAACAATCATGAGCCAAGCTATCAATTATCTAATAGGATTTTACATGGCTACAGTTTTGAATCTAGGTTTCTAATGGGCTAAATCTGACTTATCTCAGAATAGGTTTTGGCAGGTTCCCCACCCCCCATCCCATGTAAAATTTCTCTCTTCATTTGCACTCTAATCTACGATTTTACAATTCAGAATAATGCCTCCTGTGGTAGGACTGTACAACGCAGGTGAGAAACACACTACCAATAACCAACATTAATTATTAGAGGCTATATCACACTGTGCCTACTTCAACTCAGTGATGTATAACTCATTTGAAGAGGAATCAGTAGCTATACTGTAATTAAGCATCTCAGTAAAAATCAACACAAGCTGTTACCTCAGATTACGGGAACAGAGCCTTCCCTTACCAAGTTCCTGTGGTTCCCACATGTATGGATCCACCCCTCCATAGCTGAAAGATTCATATCCTTGTGTCCCAGACTCTGACCGATCATCTTCTCTCTTCAACAACTTATTCTTTGCTTTCTTAGCCTTCTGGACAAGACCTTGGAAAAAAATGAACTAAGTAACACAAGTGAATTGCTAAAGCCCATGTAGTGAGATTCAATAGTCTTGAAGACAACCTCTGAAAAAAAGTCATATATGAAAACCATTTTACCTAGTGAAAAATCACTAAGTATTCCCATAGGTTCAGAAAAGGGAGAGAGAGACCAAACCACTCATCGTTACATAAAGACAAGTGATGTGTTAGCATTTTCTTTAAAGCATTCTACTTATACATACATATTATTTGCCAGTTTAAAAAAAATTAAACTTTGTTTAACTACATTAAAAACTTTTCTGGCCAAAATTCAATGCTAAAACATAGTAATAAACAAACATAACGAATACATTTATTAGAGTACTAAATAAACTGAGCACTTAATAAATGTTGAGAATTAGTTGATTTCCAGTGCTAAGAAGTGAAATCTTTACTAATGTGGTAAAGTGCTTTATACCTTTGGAGTTTTTGCTTTGTGCCATTCCAAAGACACAAAGCCTTTCCATACATACTAAACATAAGGACACATACTTGCCCTCAAAAACTTCATATTTTAATAATCTTCTGTATGTTTTTCTAAGATTTTTTTCTCCAAATAAGAAACTAGATCTAAGCTAAACGCTTTCAATAAACTAAAAAAATTGCTTATTACTTCCTCCATGAATCCTTCCCTGATCTCCCCAACCCCAACCAGAAGTAATCTATCCCTTCTCTGAATTACGGAAATTTGGATGTCCCTTATTGCAATTTCATAATCTATCTTGCATTTTATTTATATACACGTTATCTGTCCAACTTGACTGTAAATTTCATGAGGACAGACACCACAGTTTCATTCACCTTTGTATTCCCATAATACCTCACTAGCACAGTATTCTGTACACAGTAGACAACCAATATATATTTGTCTTATGAATAAATAAACCAATAATTAACATACCAACACTATTATATTTACAGAGATGTTGTTCAAAAGTTCAAACAAGAAATTTCACCTCCATTACTTTGTTTAAAAACAACTTCCTCTTGGTGATAACTGATATCTACCTAAATGTTAATTTTAAAACAAAATGATAGAATTAATATAGCCATCCCAGTATAGAAAAAGTGTTTCAAGAGCATATATTAATAGTGACAAATGGTGTACAGCCCATCTCCATAGCTCTAGATGCTTTACAAGAAAATATTCAGCAAAACATTGAAATTTCTGAAACCTGCATAAAGGCAGCTATGAAATGGTTGGTAAAGCAGATATGACTGATAACGGCATAGAAAGTTCTTCGTTGATACAGTGATGCTAATCAAGCAATCAACCTAATTATCAGTCACTCTATAGTATTTTTTCAAGTAGGTAGAAAAATAAGGCCTGCAAGAACTAAATAAAGATGTTTTAAAAGTATCGTGGTCATCCTTACTAATAATAGGGGAAAGGTTATAAGATGAAATGAACAAAAAGTTGCAAGGGAGAAAACCGGAAATATTAATGCACTTTGCAAACAAGGCTAGATGGTGCCACTTTAGACAGACTGTACTATTTAACTTCTACTGGGTGTCACTGAAGTACTTCCTGACAAACTTATCAAAATGGGTGTGGCCCTTCATCAGGAAGCTAATTAGGAATAATTCTACTGTACTTATTTTTAAATAATCTTTTCCAAAATAACCTATTGGCCAATCTCAACTCTCAACTATACCTTTCCCTATTTAAGCAAAATTATCATTCTGATGATAACTAGGTCCATGGAAATAAATCAAAAGCCAAAGACCCATACAAGGAAGTTTTCTTAATTAACAATTGATGTGAGTTAGCCATATAACTTTTCCATGAACTCCAGGTGTACCAGATCCAAAATTAGCTCTTTTCAGTTCAATATCTATTATTAAGCCAGCCTCCTTAAGCTACCACTGTGAAGTCTGTGATATAAGAGGAAAAGGTGGTATACTCTGACAAGGCTTTTCATTAATCTTTGGTGTCACATTTTCAAAATGTTATTGTTAGCTTCTAAAATTGGAACATTTGTCAGCTTAGGTCAATACAAAGGTCATCTTTTCCACTCTACAAAAGACTCCCTGAGACCTCCAGGGGACTTCATAAATTAACCTTTTAACTGCATAAAATTTAAAACTCCAAAATGGGAAAATGGAGGTGATTTTATGGATTCTCAGCGTTCCTTTAAAAGGAACAATGTCTCATTTCATCCATTTTAAATAAATCACCTGAAATACACTGTAGATATAAATATAATTTTTTTTAGGGCAGAGTGTAAATGAAACCATCTAAGAAATCTTTTTTTTTTTTTTTTGCCTAACAACGCCCCCCCCCCAAAAAAAATTCTTGGGAGTTCTGAGTAAATTTTATCCAAAATGACACTAGGAGGCAAACAGGTGATATTATGAGAATAAATCTTATTAACAGTCTCACACATAACTGTAGGCCCAATTCACACCACCACTGATCAACAAAAGAATATTATAGAAGTATGTTATGTCAAGTTTCAAAAACTAGCAACATACATATATCACTACATACTACTTCTTTGGAGAGAATGGAGGTGCACATTGTAAACTGGCATTAAGGACTCTGAACCAAAATTGCCACGTTAAAGATGTTACTAATCATATTATTTTCAAAGCTTTTCCTCCCCACCCCACCCCCAGAACTCTAGTTCTGCTCTGTCTGAAGTCAAATTATGCTTCATGACCCTAACCAATCCTTTGTTTTGGATATTTCAACAATATGGTGGTCAATATATAGTTAGGGAAAGGACGAGGAGAGAGAAGAGGTCAATGAATTCACTGGTATAAGGAGCTCCTGGTCAGAAACCTCCTCTATCAATGCAGGCTGGCACCTTCTCTGCCAACTTACAGACTTAAGACCTAGAACACTGAGAAGTTAACTGACTTGCTGCTTCCTCTCCCTCCCCCCAGCCCAGTAGGTGTCAGAGATAAGACCTGAAACCAAGTCTCCTGGCTAATTTTCTATCCCCTGTATCATGCTGTCTCTCTATGCAAAGGAATATATTTGCTTTTCCCCCATTCCCATCACCACCCTATCTCTTCCCCCAGCCCCCAGCATTACCCTATGCAGAATCTTATAAAAATAAAATGTAAAATTATCATCTCATTTTCTCTTGTGCGTAAGCTGCCAGTGATGAGAATAGGGTTTGCTGGCTCATTAGGAAAGTGGAAAACTCTCAAATGGAAGAGGAATTCCACTGTCTAGCAATCCTTACAGGCTGTTTACAGAACCAAAGGTAGTGCCAGCTGATGACTGTAAACTAATCTGATGAAAACAAAGTCTGTGATACGAAAAAGCAAAGCATTATATCTCTCCCTGCCCAACAGTCCAATGAAAACAGGGTCCACGCTTCTTACTTTTTATCTGCCCTTTGACGTCCCTGTCCTCACTGGAGTGTTCTTCTTCATAATGTGACTGAAGTTGATAAAAAGATTGGAGATCCTTTAAGCACAGAGGGCAAAGAAAGCCCTCCCTCACTTCCCCAGGATCATCAAGAGATGCCATGATGGTCTTATCACTTCTAGATGACAATTAGCTGCATGTCAAGAAGCTAGCACAGAATCTCAGCAGTACAGGTTGTCCAGTGACAGCTTAAAAAAGCAGAGGGTGGGGAAGAGCATTATTCCTTAGATGAGTGGTTTCTTGTCAGCAATAAAAAGAATCCTGAAAAATAAATGGGAAAAAAGCTAGGTCAGATAGTTTCATTGACTTCCAGAATTTTCCTTGTACCTCTAATAATTTAGCAAGAGCACTCAACATATGCTGAATTAGAATTCAGAACAAGAGTGATTTCTGAAAGCTCTGCAACAAAGAGACTCCCCGAATACCCAAAAGACCCCAGTAAACAAACATAAGACCCATGATCTATATCAGTGATTCTAAAACTTTTGGCCTCAGGATCCTTTTATAGCCTTAAAAATTGAGGACCTCACGGGGCAGCTAGGTGGCGCAGTGGATAGAACACCAGCCCTGAAGTTAGGAAGACCTGAGTTCAAATGCAACCTCAGACCAATCACTTGACACTTACTAACTGTGTGACCTTGGGCAAGTCACTTAACCCCCCACTGCCTCACCCAAGGAAAAAAATAAACAAACAAAAAAAATTGAGGGCCTCAAAGAGCTTTTGTTTCTGTGGGTCATATATATTGATATTTACTGTATTTACAAATTTAAAAGTCTTAGTATTATCATGAAAGTACTTCTGATCTCAAATACCCCCTTCAAAAGGTTTTGTGGACCCCAGTAGCCCTCAGATCACACTTTGAGAATCACTGATCTGGACTGAATCCAGTCCTTGACACCAATTAGATGAGAAAAAGGCTTTTCCAATAAAAAACAGATTCTTAAAGCTAAAAAAATTGAAACTTCAAAAGAAAAGATAAAACCAAGATTAAAACATGCCACACAAATTCCAATAGCTCGTGCTGTCCTTCCTGATCATTTGCACGCCTATGTTTTAAAATCACATAATTTCAGTTGAAATCATAAGACAATCTGGAGCAAACATTTCCTCCACAGCTTCCCAATGAGTGGCCATCCACCCCGCGCCTGAAGAGCCCCGGGGAAGGGAAGCCGGGCAGGCTGCTTCGGAGGCAGCCCCCTGCCCAGGGAGAGCCTTCCAGTTGTTTAGAAGTCCTCCCTCACGGGGACCTAAGATCTACCCGGAGACAAGGTGAACGGAGGCAGATCCTCGACCCGGCTGGAAGAAAGCCAGGAGCCCCGGATCACCTCAAGGGAAACCACTGGCCAAAGAGCGGAGATGTCTCTACCAGACGCTGATGTCACCAGGCGGAGGACACGCCGGACCTCGGCTGAAGGGCAGCAGGAAGGGCCCCCCCCCCGGAGTACCCAGGGCCCCTCCCTCCACCTTCCAGCTCCCACCTGTGATTTTTCTGCGGAGGACCCCATCTGCCAGTCTCTGCCAGGACCGTCATTCCCCTCCCCCCCACGGCCTCCCAACACCTCGCCCCCCACTCACCTCCCGAGGATCTACCTAACAAATAAATGCTCAGCCGGCTCCAGCGCTCAGCGGGGAGCCTGGCACACAGGAGGCGCTTAATAAATGGTAGCCGATGGACCCACCCCCAACCCCACCCACACAACCTTCCCACACACCCAGCCTAAACACATCACCATACACCCCTAGCCCACAACCACACGGCACACACCCCGACACGCCCCCTCCCTTTTCTCCTCCCCGAGCTCCCCTCCCCCTCCCTCCAGCCTCACCTCCCGCCCCCCGCGAGCCCCTCGTCCCTCCCCGGGAAGCCCCCGGCCGGAGGCCGAACAGCTCGCGATGCGATGCGGGGAGGGAGGAAGGGGCGCACTCAGTACCGCTGCGGGCGGGCGGGGGTCTCCGGCTGGGGCCGGGGCTGGTGCCGCTGACGGGGCGGGGCAACTCGCCCCTCCACCGCCGCTCTCTCCCTCACTGGGCCCGGGCGGCCATCAGGCATCCATTCCTTCGGCCCTCGGCAAGAGAGCCTGCGCGGCAGGCAGGCCAGGCACGCATTTATCGAGCACCGAGTTATCGAGTCACCCGAGGCAGGGAGGGAGAGGAGTAAGAGTCAGCGAGAGGTGGGCATCTGCGCAGGCGCCACAGGAGAATGGGAGCCGGAAGCTGGGAAGGAGGCGGGAGGGGAAAAGAGAAGCCAGGCTTGTGCTCGTAGCTGCGGAGCTGAAATGGAGCGCAAAAGCCAGCCAGTCCAACCTCATTTTACAGATGGGCGAACCATCTGTGTATCTATCTGCACACATATACATCCGTCATTAAGTGGTTATTGATTGTAGTCGTGCAGTTCTGTAATTATATATAGGTACGTGGTTGCATATGTGGTTAGATATAGTTCTGTATGTCACTATATAGTTATATACAGGCGTATGGTTATAATTATATAGACATGTAATTATAGTTAGATATAGTTGTATCGTTGGAGTTCTAGTTATGTAGTTCTATAATTATATATAAGTACATGGTTACATATGTGGTTGTATATAGTTATATTGTAGTTATGTATAGTTCTATATGTAGTTATACAATTATATATAGGCATATGGTTATAATTATATAGACATAATTGTAGTTGTATATAGTTATATCGTTGTAGTTATAGTTATGTAATTATATAATTATAGGTTTATAGTTATATGTAGTTATATAGATGAATAGTTATAATAGTTGTAGTTATATCATTGTAGATAGCTCTAGAGATATGTAGTTCTAGTTACATATGCTTAGATATGTTTACAGGTAAGGTTATATAATTATATATACGTAGTTAATTATTCAGTCACCTCCGTTTCTTCATGACCCCCATTTGGGGTTTTCTTAGCAGAGATACTAGAGTGGTTAGCCATTTCCTTCTTCAGCTCAATTTACAGATGAGGAAACTGAGGCAAACAAAGTTAAGGGACTTGTACAGCTAGTAAGTGTCTGAGGCTGGATTTGAACTTGTGAAGAGTTTTCCTCATTCCAAGCCTAGTGCTCTATCCACTGTGCCACCTAGCTGCCCCTATATGTAGTTATATAGTTAAATATAGTTATGTAGTTATATAATTATATAGTTATAGTTATATAATTGCGTAATTATGTATAGGTATTTAATTACATATAGTCATACATAGTTGTGTAGTAGTATATAGTTATATAGTCTTTTTTAGTTATGCAGTACATAGTTATATAAATATATAACTATATGTAGGTATACCGTTATATATAGTTATGTAGTTGTAGTTATAGTTTTTATAGTTATGCAGTTATATTAGTTATAGTTTTTTATATAGTTATATGTAGCCATATAGCTAATTATATAGTTATGTAGTTATACATAGTTATATATTACATATATTGTTATATGTAGTTACATAGTTATAAATAGATATATGGTTATATGGTTATAGTTATATGTATAGTTACATAGTTTTTCATATAGTTGTATATGTATAAATTCAAATATGTAATGGGTCAGTTTCATTTCTGGCCTAGAGTCTCATAAATTCAGCTCCGTCTCTTTCCCTCTTTGGAAGGTCTTTCTAGGCCACTCTGCGCTCTACGTCCTATGATCCCTAGTAAGCAGCCCCTGGCTCGCTATAACTGACCACGAGCTGTTTGCCCCTTACTGAACAGGGGACTTCAGGTCAGGCCCTTTTTCCTGTTACCCAGATCTAGAAACATCAGCCTATATTGAAGAGCACCTGACTGGCCCAGCTAGAGGCAGACCCTGTTCATTTCAGTGCCCTTTCTGAGGCACCTTTCCATCTTTAAACCTGAGCTAAACAGACATCAAATGGCTTCAATTCACATTTCACATAGATTCACATTGTCCTACAAGTAAGTGTTTCCTTAAAGAAGACAGCTTTTTCCACAGTGGATATAGCACCGAACCTGGAGTCAGGAAAATCTGAGTTCAAATCCCACCTCAGACACTCACTAACGGTGTGACCCTGTGTAAGTCAATTAACTTCTGTTTGCCTCTGTTTCCTCATCTGTAAAATGGGGATAATAATCATAGCTACCTCTCAGGGTGATTGTGAAGATCAAATCAGATATTTGTAGAGTATTTTGCAAACCTTAAAGCACCAAATAAATGCTAATGATTATTATTACTATTATTACAATGCCCCACATATTTCATGTATATATTCATAACCATACATAATTCCTGCCTATAGTAAGAGAAGAACCACTTCTTGACAGTAACCCAATGTAAGGCAGGATGAAATTTTTGTTCTGTTACTTATTGCCTGTGTGATCTTTTTTTTTTATTAATTTATTTTGATTTATCAATAACCACTTCCATATGCTTTTGAGTTTAAAATTTTTCTTCCCTTTCCTCCCCACCACCCTCCCCAAGACGGCACACAATGTGATATAGGCTATACATTTACATTCATATTAAACGTATTTTCACATTAGTGATGTTGTAAGTAAAAATTAAAACCAATAGGAGGAACCATCAGAAATAGGAAACAAAACTCAACAGAAGAGAAAAAAAATAGTAATTCGACTTCCATAGTTCTTTCTTTGGATGTGGATAGCATTTTCTGTCACAAGGCCTCTGGAGATGTCTTATATCCTTGTATTGCCGGGAAGGGTTAAGTTTATCAATATTAGTCATCACACAACGTGGCTGTTATGTGTACAACGTTCTCTTGGTTCTGCTCACTTCACTCCGCATCAGACCATACAGTTCTTTCCAGGTTTTTCTGAAGTCAGCCTGTTCATCATTTCTTATAGCACAATAGTATTCCATCACATTCATATACCACAACTTGCTCAGCCATTCCCCAATTGATGGGCATCCTCTCAATTTCCAATTCTTTGCCACCACAAAAAGAGCTGCTATGAATATTTTTGTACATGTAGGTCCTTTTCCCATTTGTATGATCTCTTTGGGATATAGCCCTAGAAGTGCTATTGCTGGGTCAAAGGGTATGCACATTTTTATAGCCCTTTGGGCATAGTTCCAAATTGCTCTCCAAAATGGTTGGATCATTTCACAACTCCACCAACAATGCATTAGAGTTCCAGTTTTCCCACATTTTCCCCAACATTTATCATTTTCCCGTTTTCTCATGTTGGCCATTCTGATAGGTGTGATGTGGTACCTCAGAGTTGTTTTGATTTGCATTTCTCTAATCAAGAGTGATTTAGAGCATTTTTTCATATGACTATAGATGGCTTTAATTTCTTCATCTGAGAACTGTCTGTTCATATCCTTTGACCATTTATCAATTGGGGAATGGCTTGTATTCTTATAAATTTGACTTAATTCTCTATATATTTTAGAAATGAGGCCCTTATCAGAGAGACTGGTTGTAAAAATTCTTTCCCAATTTTCTACCTTCCTTCTAATCTTAGTTGCATTGGCTTTGTTTGTGCAAAAATGTTTCAATTTAATGTAATCAAAATTATCTATTTTTGCTTTTTGTAATGTTCTCTATCTCCTGTTTGGTCACGAATTCTTCTGTTCTCCATAGATCTGACAGGTAAATTATTCCTTGCTCTCCCAGTTTGCTTATAGTATCAGCCTTTATATCTAAATCATGAACCCATGTAGATTTTATTTTGGTATATGGTGTAAGATTTTGGTCTATGTCTAGTTTCTGCCATACTCTTTTCCAGTTTTCCCAGCAGTTTTTTTCAAAGAGTGGGTTCTTATCCCAGAAGCTGGGGTCTTTGGGTTTATCAAATAATAGATTACTATAGTCATTGACTACTGTGTCTTGCATATTTAACCTATTCCACTGATCCACCACTCTATTTCTTAGCCAGTACCAAGCAGTTTTGATGAATGCTGCTTTATAATACAATTTAAGATCTGGAATGGCTAGGCCACCTTCCCCTGCATTTCTTTTCATTAGTTCTCTTGATATTCTAGACCTTTTGTTCTTCCAAATGAATCTTGTTATTATTTTTTCCAACTCTATAAAATAATTTTTTGGTAGTTTGATTGGCATGGCACTGAATAAGTAAATTAGCTTAGGTAGAATTGTCATTTTTATTATATTAGCTCGGCCTACCCATGAGCAACTGATGTTTTTCCAATTATTTAGATCTGACTTTATTTGCGTGAAAAGTGTTTTGTAATTGTGTTCATAGAGTTCCTGGGTTTGTTTCAGGAGGTAGACTCCTAAATATTTTATAATGTCTACAGTAAGTTTAAATGGAATTTCTCTTTCTATCTCTTGCTGTTGGCCTTTGTTGGTAATATATAGAAATGCTGATGATTTATGTGGGTTTATTTTATAGCCTGCAACTTAGCTAAAGTTGTTTATTATTTCAAGTAGTTTTTTACTTGATTCTCTGGGATTCTCTAAGTATAACATCATGTCATCTGCAAAGAGTGATAGCTTTGTTTCTTCTTTGCCTATTCTAATACCTTCAATGTCTTTTTCTTCTCTTATTGCTAAAGCTAACTTTTCCAGTACAATGTTGAATAACAGTGGTGATAATGGACATCCTTGTTTCACCCCCGATCTTATTGGAAATGCTACTAGCTTGTCGCCATTACATATTACGTTTGCGGAAGGTTTTAGATAGATGCTATTTATTATTTTAAGGAAGACTCCATTCATACCTATGCTCTCTAGTGTCTTTAATAGGAATGGGTGTTGTATTTTGTCAAAAGCTTTTTCTGCATCTGTTGAGATGATCATGTGGTTTTTGTTAGTTTTGGTGTTGATGTGATGAATTATGCTGATAGTTTTCCTTATATTGAACCAGCCCTGCATTCCTAGTATAAATCCTACCTGGTCATAGTGTATTATTCTTGTGATAAGTTGTTGTAATCTATTTGCTAATACTTTGTTTAAAATTTTTGCATCTATATTCATTAGAGAAATTAGTCTATAATTTTCTTTCTCTGTTTTGACTCTTCCTGGTTTAGGTATCAGCACCATATTTGTATCATAAAAAGAATTTGGTAAGATTCCGTCTTCACCTATTTTACCAAATAGTCTATATAGTATTGGAATTAGTTGTTCTTTAAATGTTTGATAGAATTCGCATGTAAATCCATTTGGCCCTGGAGATTTTTTCCTAGGGAGTTCATCAATGGCTTGTTCAATTTCTTTTTCTGAGATGGGATAATTTATGTATTTTACTTCCTCTTCTGTTAATCTGGGCAATTTATATTTTTGTAAATATGTATCCATTTCACTAAGATTGTCAAATTTGTTGGCATGTAGTTGGGCAAAATAATTCCTAATTGTTGTTTTAATTTCCTCTTCATTGGTGGTAGCTTCACCCTTGTCATTCTTGATACTAGTAATTTGGTTTTCTTCTTTCTTTTTTTTAATTAGACTAACCAAAGGT